GCAATGCAAGGGTAAATAAAGAACTGATGTTTGAATAAGTACCGCGTTTCCTTTACTCAAGAAACACTGTCTATAAAGGCTAATGTTTTTGTGTGTATAAAGAGCAGAGAACAGTCTTAGCATTTGCTTATTGTAGTCTTATTGTAGCCAATACACTTTTGTACATTTTAAATATCATAGCTGTTTGTATTTTATATCGTGAGATTTTGGCCAAATGTATTAACAACAAGAGCAGTGCAAGTGTCTTATCATATATAAAGCCAAAATACCAGCTCTGATGACGCAATGTTTAATTATTGGAAAAACAAAAAATAAGTTTCCCATTTCTATCTTTTTTTTTTGTAATGCTTAGTGGTGTGCCGTGGGATTTTTACATATCAAAACTGTGCCGTGGAAGAAAAAAAGTTTGGGAAACACTGTTAAAACACTTTTAAAAAGTTTGCCAGGTGGCTAAATGATGCCTGTATTAATTTTTTGATCAAGTACTGTACATGTTTTACTTTACATTTAAGTACAGTGCAGTTTTTATTTAACTTTTAGGTACAGTACATTTTAATTTAATCATTTAAGTTTTTTATTTACCTGTATGTAAGCACAGTGCAGTGTTAATGTTCAAACTGTATTTACAATGTTTAAAGTAGCAGACAATAATAAATATTCTTATTAGGAATAAAACTGCCTCATTTTTTAACTGTGCATAGCTGTAGCTGAATAATTAGGCCTACTACGCTACTGTATTTTAATGTTGGTCGTTATGGTGGTACTTGGAGAGCCAAATATTTTCTGAGGTGGTACTTGGTGTTAACGTTTGAGAACCACTGTACTAGAAGATTCTGTAAAACACTAAAAGCTCTCATGCTCCAAAAAGGATAATAAAAAGCATAATAAAAGTAGTCTGTATGACTTGTGCACTATATTCACAGTTTTCTGAAGCCATGAATTGTCTTCATTTATATTCTATAGAAAAGACTAGCTTGGACAAAATTTAAGTCTTGTGAGTTTCAAAATAGAATTCTGGGTAAATCAGTCTTTTAAAAGCTCTTGAATGTCTCTGTTTTTTGCTTGTGTCCAAGCTTTTGAGTGTGAGATTCCTTAACCCTGCATTCTAGCTACATGGACATAAGGCTTCATGGACATCATGTCTTCACAGTCGGTGTGCAGAATGGCATGTGCTGCAGTGGTATCAGTAGGTCAGAAGGGGTCGACTTTGAGAGAGGATGTTAAAACCAACTCTTATAACCTATTACAGTGCCACTAAGACATGAGAGAGACGGTTTACTTATTTACAATGTGCAAAGACAATAATTCAGGCTTAATGCATCAAAAGCTCGAATTTCTATGGATGAATTCTTATAGGCTGACTAGAAATATTTGCCGTGGGTCTGACTCACACTGTGAGATGCTCTACATGCCAAACAGCTACAGCTACTGATATTTAATACCTGCAATGATACATGACTCATGTTTTCAGGCATGGCTGTACATGTATGATTCCAAAAAATGATTCCACATTCCTGTGCAGCACTGGGAACGTGACATCACTTCCATCAGCTCCGACTGAATGACGTAACCTGTAACTGCTGAATAGAGATGACCTAATGGTTACTCACGTGCAAAGAATTGATTGGTCCTCACGATCTGCAAAAGAGGAGACGAGAAGAAAAATGGGTCAGCATTTTCAGTTCAGTTCACCTGAGCCTTTAATTCAAATCAATCCACTTTGACATTTAAAAGTACCTAAAACTGCAAAAGACAAACATTTCACCACAAAGTGATTTATCAGATACAGAAGACACATGTACTCTGATGCAATCTTATGGTTTATTTCTGCCCAATTATTATTACAATCTGCTGTCATATTTGTATATACTCAACACTGCATATTATGACTATAATCAACAGACGGAAAGTTTTAGTGAAAGAATACACAGCATAAAAGGAAGACGGCTCAGTTAAAATGGAAATGAGTGCCAACTGAAAATGCTGTGTTGGCCTACAATGCAAGCCAAAAAACATCCGTAAAACTCACTTCGTAAACAGGTTGGTCTTCCACAAAACGGAATCTTTTTCGCAACTTCAAAAGTAAAAGTTTTATAGGAAAATTCAAAAGCAAGCAAAACTATTTTATAGTGATACTAAACCTCGGCAAGAGGAAGATAGGGGATGTCATGTGACTGCTTATTTGAGGATGGGCTTAAAAAAGGCTTTTAACAGCACATATCATTTTTCTTACATGATATGGATTGCCGTTTTACTGATACTGATGTTTTAGCTTCAGTGCGACCAAAATTCTGCCCTACTTATGCATTTCATTTCCCAGGCACAAACAGATAATTGTCAACTCCGGTATATGCCAGAGATACTTGCATGAACATTATCCTATGCATGAGAAAGCCTCTGACATGCTTTAAGTGCACTGATCTCTGTAACATCAGCTCACTTTAATCAAACTGTGATGCATACGGACTGTAGGTAATTGGGTTTGAGTATTAAGAGATTATGCCCAATTCTGGAGATTAGCAGATTCAAATGTACTACTTAATGTCCTGCAGCCTCCTCCTCATGCAGGACATCTGATTCAATAAGCTCAAAGTAAATGTCTTCCTCCGCATTGTACAGCAGTTACAAAACCACATACATAGTACTCATCATGTTTTTGTGCGTCACACTGGAGTGTGTAATCATTTGTATTACAGCATAACTCTCTGCATCCTCTTCCAGAGTGTTGTGATTCACTTGAATACATTTTCTGTATATCAGGGGTGAACGAACACACACCCACCCTGGGAGCTCTTCCAAGCGATCATTTGGGTGGTGTCTCAGTTCCCGAATCTGCAGCAGCAGAATGTTGCTAATGATTTAGATAAATAACTTCATGTCACTGTTAAACGGTTTCTCTTGCAGTATCAGACAGCTTCTGAGCACAGGACATCCTTGAAACGCTAGGCATTTGTGTGTCTGGTGGAACCAAGAAGCACTAGATAAGATAAACCTGGCCAGCCCAACCCAAAAATGGTGGCCATAGACATTTTCTTTTCAGGAAAAATTTCTATGAAAAGTCATTACTTTAAAATGTTTGTACAGACTTTTTCTTTTACTAAGCTTGACATTTTGGCATGTAACTCATTCAGCACTGCTTGTACTACACTTGATCTACTTTAGATCAAGATTTACATGATTATTTCTTCTTGTACCTACCGTGTGAAAAGGCATATTCACACAGCGCAAATTCAATGACCAAAGGAAATAAAGTTGCTCTTTTATTTCACATTGTATTGGGAGCTTTATTAGCTTTGTTGCATGTCTCTCGGTGTGAAGAGACTGCAAGAAATCGATCCAAGACCTTTATATTAAAATAAAATCCCAACTGTGTCTTTGAAGTGCTGCTTGTAGACTGATCACTGCTCCACTAAAGCAGTCAGAATTATGATTGTTTTATGCATAATTTAGCATCCTCCGAGGACTTGTGGAGATTCATCAAACTCCTAAAAAGTAGTGAGGTCGTTTAAAATGCCAAAACCAATTTACCTCATTCTTTTTAGGCATGGAAAGGTCTCTGTACTGCAGTCCTCTAATGAGACGCAGGGGTATCTGACTAAGTCCACCTATGGGAACAGAGGATGCCTGAAGATAAAATAGTGCTGACTGCTTTCCTGTTCTGGCAGCGGAGGTCAGGGCTGTCTGGGATGAAGAGGATCTACAGCTGAGCACATCCTCAGTATGGGGTTTCCTCCACCTGGACATGGTTTGCTCACTAAAAGTCTAACATTCGAGAACCCGCCCTTATATAAGAGGCCAAACGTGTAACAGAATATGGGAAAGAATGATAATGGCATAAAAGGAAATGTGTAACAATTGTTAGAACATCTTTTGTTTTAATCTAGATAGCAGAAAACACAAGGACTCAAAAACTCAATGTGTCCTCGTGCATGAATCAACAGGAACAGAATGTTGAACTGATCTCGTCATAAGCAGAGCTATGAAACATGCCATGTTCAAACACAATGTTTTAGATAAAAGGTTCAGGGCTCAGGTTACAAGAACTGGAAGTAGCTCCAGGGTGGAGGCGCTTCCTTTTGTGTGGCGTACATCAAACTCTGTGAACATTCATGACATATCTGTGTCTCTGTCTCGGATACAGAGACACAGATATGGCAGCCAAGGATTCTGAAGAATGGCCTCTCCTATCAGCACAGCTGCAGAAAAGGGAAGCATATAATCAAGTGAAGAGAGGGCTCTTGACTTCTTTTCACTGCATCCTTTGTCAAGGCCTTAGCAACTCTTCTCTGAATAATGAACAGCTGATTACAGAGATTCCAGCATAATTCAGGCACAGCCGTAAGAATGTGTGGTAATAATTAAAATCAAATGGAGCTCCCAAACAAGCATTCAAATATAACTCATAACCTGTTATCTTTGTAATATGACAAGACTTGGTCAGCAGATCATACCTCGCATGCTTCCAGTTTCATTTAATTTGATCCAAACTAGGGATGCAGCAATTAACCGGTTTCACGATTAACCGCACTTTAAAATGGCACGGTTAATTAAACGTAAAGGCTTGGCTGCACTGAGTGTTTCTGTTGCACAGAACGGAACTGTTGCAACTTGCACAGAATGAAAACAAAGTTACACTAGCGTTGCGCCAACTTAAAATGGCGTGCTTATCAGAGACACAGAGGCTACTACACACACTAGATGAACTATGACAGAGGAACCAAACAGCGATCCTTTATTTCCACCAAACCTGCGCCAGCGTGTCTCTCTACAAATGTGTTTAGTTACTTAACCAGTGATTTTACCACCTCGTTGCTGATGTAGCAATTCAGTATCTAAGCTATTTTATTAATAAAAGTCGCGGGGCAGGGTTCACAACAAGTGTGTGTCCTCCTGAATGTTTGCATATGTGCGCAGCGCGATCTCCGATCTCACAAACCAAAATAATAAACATGATTTTCTCAGGCCACATGTAAAATCATATGAATTATTATAAAAAATTATTAAAATTAATACGTATGGATGACAGTTGATTGCAATAATAGTTCAGCTTATTCCCCTCATTATTAATAATTTCCCCTGTGGGATAAAGTTAACAGTCTTATATTAATAATACTTCATTAACACAATAATTGTTCATTAATTATCCCTTTTACAGTATTAGTCATAATTCAAAAACCAACAAGATTTTTTTTCACCATGTTTCCAGTTCTCTGCCTCAGGTCTAAAAGAAATGTAAAGAATGTACAAACTGAAAACACTAAATACTTTTGTGATCTATTTTCATTAGTTATTTTCAAAAGGGAAATACTGACAGGGAGAGGTTTACAGAGCAGAGGTCACCTTTTTAATTCCAATTGGAGAGATGGACTTTTGTTTGTCTTTATTATTATTATTTTGTGCTGTATTATTGGTTACGGTGCTATTTTTGTTTCAAAAGGCAGCAATAAATAACACTTTAATATCTAAAGAGTGTCCATGTGATTTTATACATTAATAATTTTGTGAAATGGATAAATGCATAATAATCGTCATAATCGTAAAACCGTGATTATTTCTCAGACAATAATCGTACCAACAAAATCTATAATCGTTGCATCCCTAACTAGCACAGTCTCAGGATCAGTTGTGCGAACACAGGGACCTGGCGCTTCGGCACCTCAGCCTGTTGGGCCTTCGGGTCAACTGGTTCCCCTGTGGGATAAAGTTAACAGTCTTATATTAATAATACTTCATTAACACAATAATTGTTCATTAATTATCCCTTTTACAGTATTAGTCATAATTCAAAAACCAACAAGATTTTTTTTCACCATGTTTCCAGTTCTCTGCCTCAGGTCTAAAAGAAATGTAAAGAATGTACAAACTGAAAACACTAAATACTTTTGTGATCTATTTTCATTAGTTATTTTCAAAAGGGAAATACTGACAGGGAGAGGTTTACAGAGCAGAGGTCACCTTTTTAATTCCAATTGGAGAGATGGACTTTTGTTTGTCTTTATTATTATTATTTTGTGCTGTATTATTGGTTACGGTGCTATTTTTGTTTCAAAAGGCAGCAATAAATAACACTTTAATATCTAAAGAGTGTCCATGTGATTTTATACATTAATAATTTTGTGAAATGGATAAATGCATAATAATCGTCATAATCGTAAAACCGTGATTATTTCTCAGACAATAACCGTACCAACAAAATCTATAATCGTTGCATCCCTAATCCAAACCTGATCTGAACAGGAAGTGCAGTGCATGCTTTCAGTTAGGACTGAAACGATTAGTCGACAATAAAAAATTTCGACAAATATTTTTGTTGTTGAGTAGTCGTTTGATCTCATATGACCTAATGTAAGAGCCTGCAATAACGCGGTTTGACCAGAGTGGCGCTATAGCGCAGCTAAGACTGTAATTCAGCTCTCCTGATGCAATTCAAGAGAAGAAGACAGCGCTTCAGTTCAGAGCAAACGAGCAAACGCAGCTAGGCTGCTGAGCGGCGTTTAGATGAATATGTAAATATATACTTAGGGCTGGGCGACACGGCTAAAAAAAAATTATCAACGATATGTTTCATATCGTTCGGTATCGATAATTATTGACATTTTTTATAACCTTTTTTAAAACAAAAAGCAACAGAAATTTTT